ATTCACAAAGAATACAGGAATCAACATGAGAAAACGATAGCAGGATTTAAGAAGTACGATCAAGAGTTTATTGGTTGTTTTCCCCATTGCAGAAAGAACAATGACAGGTCTTTCTTCTCGAAATCTGAGAATGAGATTAGCTACTTCTCTCATTCTATCTGCTGAGGCAACAGAAGATCCCCCAAACTTCATTACACATGTCAATTCGTTAGCACTTTCTTCAGAACATTGGCTCTCAGTACCATTCCTTATATCAACGTTCCCAGCCTCACACCTAATTCGAAGGTCTTGTGTCCTACATGAGCCCTTCAGTGACGTACATAGTCCATAAACAGGAGCCACGGATACAGAAAAATCGAGCCATGGATGTGAATAAACAGGCCGAAGACAGGAAGCTCTCTTTGCGATAGCTGGGTATGGCGTTTTGACTCCACTTACATGCAATGAGGCTGCCATGTTAAATATCCCAAAATATATAGAGATCTCGACACATAAAGGAAATGAATTTCTCCAGAAGCCTACACAAGCCTCCAAAGGTAGTGTCAGAACGCTAGCTCACAATCTGCATATCCCATGATAAATTCATTTAATTTGCTCAAATTAAACAATCAAACCTAGATTGAAACACCGAGTGAAACAAATAAACAAACAGCATCGACAATGATAATATACAAAGGAAATAATTAAACAAAATTAGCAAGGATTTTTAAGTTCGTTTAATTTATAACAGAATAAGAAAAGGCAAAAACCATCGTGAAGGCAATTATAGGAGCTGTTGCATTGAAATTCATTTCTTAGTGATTATTCAAAATGAAATTAGGACATAAATTAAATTAAGAAACGAAGGCTTAGACTACCTGAAAACGGAAGAAAATGCAAGAGTATAGGTGAAGTTCAAATGCCTCTTTGTATTGCAGCAAACAGAAATGGCGGGCGGGCGGGCGGTCGGTCGGTCGGCCGGTGGCACTCTGTGTCACTGTAGACAGAAGAGAGAGGAGAGAAGTGCTTAAGGACCCGGGAGTTATGGGTACTGGTATTTAAAGCATTACTCTTCAATTTATGCTTTTTATTATTCAGCGATTTAATAAAAAATAAAAAATAAA